AAAATGTGGAATAAGTCAAATGGTTTGTTCGAGATCGGTGTGGAAGAGCCGTGACCTCAACCCCATTGATACCTTTGGGATGAATTGGAACGCCGACTGTGAGCCATGCCTAATGGCTTAACATCAGTGCCCAACCTCACTAATGCTCTTGTGGCTGAATGGAAGCACGTCCCCGCAGCAATGTTCCAACTTCTAGTGGAACGCCTTCCCAGAAGAGTGGAGGCTGTTATAGCAGCAAAGGGGGGACCAACTCCATATTAATGCCCATAATTTTGGAATGAGCTGTTCGACGAGCAGGTGTCCACATACATTTGGTCATGTAGTGTATGTATATATATATATATATATATATATATATATATATATATATATATATATATATATTCACACTCGCAACCCCCCAGAACCTTGTGACACCCACTTTGAAAATCACTGATCTATAAGGCATTTATTCAGTGACTTTCTTCTTTGTCTAATATGTATGCGCTTATTCATTTACATTTACAACTAGGATGTTGCTTGGCCCAGTACAAGCAGTGTGGTCCCCTCATCTTCTGGTCCCAGTGATGCTAGGCGCAGCACAGACAGCTCAGCTGCTGCAGCAGAGTCAAGTGTAATGGAGGTAGGAAGACAAAACAGAGAGAGACACACACTGACAAAGATGTTGCCAGTTTCTTAACATTTTGGCTCTATATTACGCATATACAGTGGGGGAAAAAAGTATTTAGTCAGCCACCAATTGTGCAAGTTCTCCCACTTAAAAAGATGAGAGAGGCCTGTAATTTTCATCATAGGTACACGTCAACTATTACAGACAAAATGAGGAAAAAAAATCCAGAAAATCACATTGTAGGATTTTTAATGAATTTATTTGCAAACTATGGTGGAAAATAAGTATTTGGTCAATAACAAAAGTTTCTCAATACTTTGTTATATACCCTTTGTTGGCAATGACACAGGTCAAACGTTTTCTGTAAGTCTTCACAAGGTTTTCACACACACTGTTGCTGGTATTTTGGCCCATTCCTCCATGCAGATCTCCTCTAGAGCAGTGATGTTTTGGGGCTGTCGCTGGGCAACACGGACTTTCAACTCCCTCCAAAGATTTTCTATGGGGTTGAGATCTGGAGACTGGCTAGGCCACTCCAGGACCTTGAAATGCTTTTTACGAAGCCACTCCTTCGTTGCCCGGGCGGTGTGTTTGGGATCATTGTCATGCTGAAAGACCCAGCCACGTTTCATCTTCAATGCCCTTGCTGATGGAAGGAGGTTTTCACTCAAAATCTCACGATACATGGCCCCATTCATTCTTTCCTTTACACAGATCAGTCGTCCTGGTCCCTTTGCAGAAAAACAGCCCCAAAGCATGATGTTTCCACCCCCATGCTTAACAGTAGGTATGGTGTTCTTTGGATGCAACTCAGCATTCTTTGTCCTCCAAACACGACGAGTTGAGTTTTTACCAAAAAGTTCTATTTTGGTTTCATCTGACCATATGACATTCTCCCAATCCTCTTCTGGATCATCCAAATGCACTCTAGCAAACTTCAGACGGGCCTGGACATGTACTGGCTTAAGCAGGGGGACACGTCTGGCACTGCAGGATTTGAGTCCCTGGCGGCGTAGTGTGTTACTGATGGTAGGCTTTGTTACTTTGGTCCCAGCTCTCTGCAGGTCATTCACTAGGTCCCCCCGTGTGGTTCTGGGATTTCTGCTCACCGTTCTTGTGATCATTTTGACCCCACAGGGTAAGATCTTGCGTGGAGCCCCATATCGAGGGAGATTATCAGTGGTCTTGTATGTCTTCCATTTCCTAATAATTGCTCCCACAGTTGATTTCTTCAAACCAAGCTGCTTACCTATTGCAGATTCAGTCTTCCCAGCCTGGTGCAGGTCTACAATTTTGTTTCTGGTGTCCTTTGACAGCTCTTTGGTCTTGGCCATAGTGGAGTTTGGAGTGTGACTGTTTGAGGTTGTGGACAGGTGTCTTTTATACTGATAACAAGTTCAAACAGGTGCCATTAATACAGGTAACGAGTGGAGGACAGAGGAGCCTCTTAAAGAAGAAGTTACAGGTCTGTGAGAGCCAGAAATCTTGCTTGTTTGTAGGTGACCAAATACTTATTTTCCACCATAATTTGCAAATAAATTCATAAAAAATCCTACAATGTGATTTTCTGGGAAAAAAAATCTCACTTTGTCTGTCATAGTTGACGTGTACCTATGATGAAAATTACAGGCCTCTCTCTTCTTTTTAAGTGGGAAAACTTGCACAATTGGTGGCTGACTAAATACTTTTTTTCCCCACTGTATATCTAATCCTTAGGTATGGTGGAAAACATAGGCTATGCCAGGCACTCATTTGCAATATAAGTAGTTAGGCTGTTATAAGGTATTATGAGCCATTGGTATCTATTATGCATTGATTTAGTGATTTTCTATGTCTGATAAATGTGTTTATTCATTCACAACTAGGATGTTGCTCGGCCCAGTACAAGCAGTGTCGTCCCGTCATATTCTGAGCCCAGTGATGCTAGGTGCAGCACAGACAGCTCAGCTGCTGCAGCAGAGTCAAGTGCAGTGGAGGTAGGAAGACAAAACAGCGAGAGAGACACACACTGACACACACGCGGTCAATACTGCTGCTACTATTTACTTTATTGCACATCCCAGCATATTCTGTAATATTCATAGTATATTCTGCATATTCCTAATGTGTACAGTATATATTCCTATTACCCTTCCTACTTCTTTAAAAAAAATGTTTCTATTACTTTGTTGTATTTGTTTATATATATACACTACCGGTCAAAAGTTTTAGAACACCTACTCATTCAAGGGTTTTTCTTTATTTTTACTATTTTCTACATTGTAGAATAATAGTGAAGACATCAAAACTATGAAATAACACATATGGAATCATGTAGTAACCAAAAAAGTGTTAAACAAATCAAAATATAGTTGAGATTTTAGATACTTCAAATAGCCACCCTTTGCCTTGATGACAGCTTTGCACACTCTTGGTATTCTCTCAACCAGCTTCACCTGGAATGCTTTTCCAACAGTCTTGAAGGAGTTCCCACATATGCTGAGCATTTGTTGGCTGCTTTTCCTTCACTCTGCAGGACGACTCATCCCAAACCATCTCAACTTGGTTGAGGTCAGGGGGATTGTGGAGGCCAGGTCATCTGATGCAGCACTCCATCACACTCCTTCTTGGTAAAATAGCCCTTACACAGCCTGGAAGTGTGTTGGGTCATTGTCCTGTTGAAAAACAAATGATAGTCCCACTAAGCCCAAACAAGATGGGATGGCGTATCGCTGCAGAATGCTGTGGTAGCCATGTTGGTTAAGTGTGCCTTGAATTCTAAATAAATCACAGACAGTGTCACCAGCAAAGCACCACCAAACCATAACACCTCCTCCTCCATGCTTTATGGTGGGAAATATACATGTGGGGATCATCCGTTCACCCACACCATGTCTCACAAAGACATGGCGGTTGGAACCAAAAATCTCCAATTTGGACTCATCAAACCAAAGGACAGATTTCCACCGGTCTAATGTCCATTGCTCATGTTTCTTGGCCCAAGCAAGTCTCTTCTTATTATTGGTGTCCTTTAGTAGTGGTTTCTTTGCAGCAATTCGACCATGAAGACCTGATTCACACAGTCTCCTCTGAACAGTTGATGTTGATATGTTACTTGAACTCTGTGAAGCATTTATTTGGGCTGCAATTTCTGAGGCTGGTAACTCTAATGAACTTATCCTCTGCAGCAGAGGTAACTCTGGGTCTTCCATTCCTGTGGCGGTCCTCATGAGAGCCAGTTTCATCATAGTGCTTGATGGTTTTCGCGACTGCACTTGAAGAAACTTTCAAACTTCTTTAAATGTTCTGTATTGACTGACCTTAATGTCTTAAAGTAATGATGAGCTGTCATTTCTCTTTGCTTATTTGAGCTGTTCTTGCCATAATATGGACTTGGTCTTTTACCAAATAGGGTTATCTTCTGTATACCCCCCCTACCTTGTCACAACACAACTGATGGGCTGAAACGCATTACGAAGGAAATAAAATTGTAAAAATAAAGAAAAACCCTTGAATGAGAAGGTGTTCTAAAACTTTTGACCGGTAGTGTACATGTGTATTGCAGATTTGAGGCGAGCCTGTGAGTAAGCATTTTGCTGCAACGTTTACTTCCTGTATCCAGGGCATGTGACCAATAAACTTTGATTAGATTTGATGACAGCCAGGCACTAAATTGGAAAATATACTGGGCAGGGGTGCAGCCATGGGTGGCCCTCCACCCACTTGGTAGCCAGGCCCAGTAAATCAGAATGTGTTTTTCCCCACAAAAGGGTTTTATTACAGACAGAAATACTCCTCAGCACTCGAACCGTTTTATAAAATGGGTAAAAAAAACAGCCGGTGTCATCCATGGGAATCGAATCTTACACGGTATGTTTCATTTTCATTTCTTAATTGAAAGTTTGTGCGACAGGTGAGTCATGGCGTCATTCCTAGGCTAGACCAGTAGATGGACCTGTTTCACCAGAAAAGTTCTACATCAGATGGCGTAACCTGAGAGGTCTGATATCTAGTGCAATAACATTTGACAGTTCAACATGGTTTTTATTTTTCACACATTTGTATATTGGCTTAAATGTTTTAAAATAAACTATACAAATATACTTGGTTTAACATGGATAAACCCAAACTGTGAGGCCATTAGTTGATGTTCTGTGGTCCACAAGCCCACCATCCAGACATGATAAAAAGGAGACATCATAACAATAAAAAGTATGTTTGCAGAAATATAAACCACAAGTGAAAATATCTTAAGTAAATTAAACATTGCCTATCAATAAAAAGATTGCACTTCCATCTCTGTTCCCAAATGCTATCAGGCAGCTTTCCACTCCACCAGGTAGGCTAGCTGCTTGCCTTCATAAGGCATTTGAGTTTAATATTATAAACAAAAAACGATAACAAAGAACTTGATTGCATAGTAACTTTATTATAACTTAGATTACAGAGTCTACCCCAAACCTCAATGCAATGCACACGTAGGCCTACTTCCATTAACCAAGCTATCTGACATTAGACAAGACCATCCTAAATGTTAACAAGCAGCTGTCCATACTAGAACTCCACTAGGTAGCTGCGTGCCTTCATCAGGCGTTTGAGCTTACTCTGCAGTGCAGCCCTCTTGCTGCCGATGTCAAAGTCCTCCTTCAGCAGGTACTCGATGTTGTCCTTCTCCTGCAGCATCTGATGCATCTCTCTCTGCAGCTGGAAAGCAGACTCCTGCAACACCAGGTAACGGATCACCATGGGAATCTGATCAGCCAGACGCTGACTGGCAATCTGGCAAAGAAAAAGAGACAGACAAGACAAAACACCTATTATTAAAATGACAGACATAGATGGATATAGTGATCTACCATCACTTTTGTCCAATTCAAGGTTTAGTCCCCTAACAATGGTTGGTTCACACACACTGAATTGTATAATGTTATAGCACATTTACATGCAATTATATAATAGCTTTCAGGGAATTGGTGATGAAATAAGTTTAAGAGTCAGCAGTTTTATTCAATCTCTGAGTTAGTGCCCACTTATCCCTAGTCAGAAGAGCTAGTGGAAATACAGGTAGGTTCTTGTTTAGGGTGTTAGGCCAGCATCTAAGATGGTGATTTACACAGTACTTACCCAGTAATAGGACTTGAGGTGCAGCATCATCTCCTGTAGGGTGGCATGGTTGTCTGTGCTGAAGATAGTACTCCTTATCTCAGGTATGGGAAGGTCATCGTCCTCTTCCTCTTCCTCCTCCCTCTTCCTCTCACTCAGGCTGTGGCTGTAGGTGCTGTCCTGTGTGTACACTATCAGCTCCATCTTGAACTGAGTCCTCAACATGGACTCAGCTGTAGACTCATTCACCTGCTTAATGGCCTCAATCTTTGTCTGTAGTTCAAACAAAACACAACTCAGTCATTCAACAGGAGATAAATGTAGTTGGTGCATGTCAGCCATCTCATTCACATACAGGTCGATGACCAACTGTGGGAACCAACTGTGGGAAAATCAGGGATGAATGGTGACATTAATATTGCATGGTGTGAGATACTGTATACCTTAGCTGATTTCAGGAGGTTAGGAAATCCAGTGAAGCTGCTCTGAGCCAGCAGTAAGAACACCTTCCTAACGGCATCTAGAGAAGGGAAGAAATACCATAACATCACTGTGACACATAGGACTCAAAGATATATATATATATATAAATATACATAAATCATCTTCAAATCAAATCAAATCAAATTTTATTGGTCACATGCGCCGAATACAACAGGTGCAGACATTACAGTGAAATGCTTACTTACAGCCCTTAACCAACAGTGCATTTATTTTAAACAAAAAAAGTAAGAATAAAACAACAACAAAAAAAGTGTTGAGAAAAAAAGAGCAGAAGTAAAATAAAGTGACAGTAGGGAGGCTATATATACAGTAAAATAAAGTGACAGTAGGGAGGCTATATATACAGGGGGGTACCGTTGCAGAGTCAATGTGCGGGGGCACCGGCTAGTTGAGGTAGTTGAGGTAATATGTACATGTGGGTAGAGTTAAAGTGACTATGCATAAATACTTAACAGAGTAGCAGCAGCGTAAAAAGGATGGGGTGGGGGGGCAGTGCAAATAGTCCGGGTAGCCATGATTAGCTGTTCAGGAGTCTTATGGCTTGGGGGTAGAAGCTGTTGAGAAGTCTTTTGGACCTAGACTTGGCACTCCGGTACCGCTTGCCGTGCGGTAGCAGAGAGAACAGTCTATGACTAGGGTGGCTGGAGTCTTTGACAATTTTGAGGGCCTTCCTCTGACACCGCCTGGTATAGAGGTCCTGAATGGCAGGGAGCTTTGCCCCAGTGATGTACTGGGCCGTACGCACTACCCTCTGTAGTGCCTTGCGGTCAAAGGCCAAGCAGTTGCCATACCAGGCGGTGATGCAACCAGTCAGGATGCTCTCGATGGTGCAGCTGTAGAATTTTTTGAGGATCTGAGGACCCATGCCAAATCTTTTTAGTCTCCTGAGGGGGAATAGGCTTTGTCGTGCCCTCTTCACGACTGTCTTGGCTTCATAGTTTGGCAAATAGGGCCACCATATTAAATAAAATCACTAACTGGGTTTCAGTATACAGTGGGGAGAACAAGTATTTGATACACTGCCGATTTTGCAGGTTTTGCTACTTACAAATGTAGAGGTCTGTAATTTTTATCATAGGCACACTTCAACTGTGAGAGACGGAATTTAAAACAAAGAAAATCACATTGTGTGGCTTTTAAGTAATTAATTTGCATTTTATTGCATGACATAAGTATTTGATCAACTACCGACCAGTAAGAATTCCGGCTCTCACAGACCTGTTAGTTTTTCTTTAAGAAGCCCTCCTGTTCTCCACTCATTATCTGTATTAACTGCACCTGTTTGAACTCGTTACCTGTATAAAAGACACCTGTCCACACACTCAATCAAACAGACTCCAACCTCTCCACAATGGCCAAGACCAGAGAGCTGTGTAAGGACATCAGGGATAAAATTGTAGACCTGCACAAGGCTGGGATGGGCTACAGGACAATAGGCAAGCAGTTTGGTGAGAAGGCAACAACTGTTGGCACAATTATTAGAAAATGGAAGAAGTTCAAGATGACGGTCAATCACCCTCGGTCTGGGGCTCCATGCAAGATCTCACCTCGTGGGGCATCAATGATCATGAGGAAGGTGAGGGATCAGCCCAGAACTACATGGCAGGACCTGGTCAATGACCTGAAGAGAGCTGGGACCACAGTCTCAAAGAAAACCATTAGTAACACACTACGCCGTCATGGATTAAAATCCTGCAGTGCACGCAAGGTCCCCCTGCTCAAGCCAGCGCATGTCCAGGCCCGTCTAAAGTTTGCCAATGACCATCTGGATGATCCAGAGGAGGAATGGGAGAAGGTCATGTGGTCTGATGAGACAAAAATAGAGCTTTTTGGTCTAAAATCCACTCGCCGTGTTTGGAGGAAGAAGAAGGATGAGTACAACCCCAAGAACACCATCCCAACCGTGAAGCATGGAGGTGGAAACATCATTCTTTGGGGATGCTTTTCTGCAAAGGGGACAGGATGACTGCACCGTATTGAGGGGTGGATGGATGGGGCCATGTATCGCGAGATCTTGGCCAACAACCTCCTTCCCTCAGTAAGAGCATTGAAGATGGGTCGTGGCTGGGTCTTCCAGAATGACAACGACCCGAAACACACAGCCAGGGCAACTAAGGAGTGGCTCCATAAGAAGCATCTCAAGGTCCTGGAGTGGCCTAACCAGTCTCCAGACCTGAACCCAATAGAAAATCTTTGGAGGGAGCTGAAAGTCCATATTGCCCAGTGACAGCCCCGAAACCTGAAGGATCTGGAGAAGGTCTGTATGGAGTAGTGGGCCAAAATCCCTGCTGCAGTGTGTGCAAACCTGGTCAAGACCTACAGGAAACGTATGATCTCTGTAATTGCAAACAAAGGTTTCTGTACCAAATATTAAGTTCTGCTTTTCTGATGTATCAAATACTTATGTCATGCAATAAAATGCAAATTAATTACTTAAAAATCATACAATGTGATTTTCTGGATTTTTGTTTTAGATTCCGTCTCTCACAGTTGAAGTGTACCTATGATACAAATTACAGACCTCTACATGCAAGTAGTACATGTAAGTAGGAAAACCTGCAAAATCAGCAGTGTATCAAATACTTGTTCTCCCCACTGTAGGTATAAAATAACATTCTCAAACATATACTGTACCTGATATCTCTTTCAGCTTCTTGACTGCTGGTTCCTCGAGTTGTTTGAGCTGGTCCTTCACCATCACCTCAAAGGTCTTGTAGTTGATGAACCCTGGGAGCTCTCTTCCACGGTACGTCTTCTCATAATCAGCCACTTCTCCCTCGATCCTCTGGTTAACTGTAATATACAAAGGATGTCACTGTTGCATTACATTAAATAAGCGTGTAAGTGTGTAAGCCTTCCATGTTTAATACAAATTTGGTACAGAAATCTAAATTCATATAGCAATTATTTGTTATCTAGCTCGCTCAAATGAGCCATTGTTTTCGATGGGTGTGTGATAGTAGTACACTCACAGATTTCTCCAGCGCGATCCAGGTGTAACTTCCATTTACCAAACTCTGTTCTTAGTGTGGAAAAGACGTTGAGACGAACTCCGCTTTTCAGCTCCTCCCCAGTGCTCAGGTTGATGGCATCCTGGGTGAATGCAGTCACTTTCTGAAACACAAAAAAAATAAGTTGTTAGATACATGGAGAGGGATAGACGTGTAGAAAGTGAAAAAGCTATGGATATAAAATGTTATCAACTTTCAAATTATTTCCAGAATTTGCTAATTTTGCTAACAAAGACTAACATGGCTGTTGTGAGTTTGGGTCAAGGCCAAAGCAGAGTGAAAGAGAGGGTAACTAAATAATCTGGGGTTTGCAGGCTGGGGGACTCACATCAATCAGGAAGTACAGCCTCTCTGCCGAATCCTCAGGTGGTCCAGTACCAAATCTTTCCAGCTCGGCATGTGTCTCTGCCAGCTTTGCCTCAATCTGCTCTTCTAGACGAGGCAGGGATTTCTAAAGGGCACAAAGCAGAGTCATGGCTTATGGCAACAGTCACTCAGTAACAAATGTATAGCATTTTGTGCAGTAAAATGTAATGGAAGAAGAATTTACCTCGATATGATGCACCAGTTCAAGAGTTAATTTCTCTGCCAGTTTAGGGATGGTGGCATAGCCCTCATCATAAAGTGTGCTGCACAAACGATAGGAAAAATACTTTTTTTTTTTTCAACTTCACAAATAGTTTGGTTACCACACAGGTACAAACTTCATTGAAAATCTATAAAGTTGATCAAATTTGATAAAATCTGTGGCACACATCAGCCAAGAGGTCCGACCTGAGATTAGCGTGCTCTTTAAAGAAGGCCTTCTCCCTCTCTGTGGCCTCGGTCAGTGAGACTCGCTCCATGATCTCTTTCTGTCCCCTGCACTTGACTATCATGTAGCCCTTAGCCAGGTGGATAACCTCATTATGAACTATGTCCACCACCGTCTCCTCTGTGCCTTTGTCTACAAGGTCAGGCTTGGTCAGGATGCCTGTCCAATGGGAAACACACATAAGTCTAACTCATTAAAGTCAACATGGTTTATAACCACCATTACACAAGAGCTTGCTTCATAATAGTTTAGTAAATAACAAAGGAGGAATACCTAATGTCCTTTCCCCTTCAGGGTCCACCTCTTGTGCCATCTTCAAAGCCTCTGTGGTTGCTATATCAACGTTGCATGGCACAACCACCAAGCTGATTGTTTCTTGCTTCATGATGAACTTCCGTATCAGTCTCTTAATCTGAAAATGTCAAACATTATTATACATAACATGTCGTGGGAGGACTTGGTTTCTGTTCTGGGGTTGAAAATGCACAATGTTTTCCCACTAACATTGAGGGTGGGGTGGAAGGGTGTACCTGTTCACCAATGTTCTCAGGTTGTCCCTTGACAGCTACCCGGGCGATGCCTGGCAGGTCGATGAGTGTGAGGTCTGGGACGTCAGGGGAGCCAATCTCCAGGCTGATGAGGTCATCACTGATACCCACCCCCACACCTGCCATTTCATCCTGGGCTGGAGGGAGGAACAAGAATACTGAACACTGCTACTAGAAACCACCAGGGTTCCAACAGCACAATAGTAAAGTGGATCAAGTTATCTTTTTATTGGTATTTAGATATTTCATGCTTATGGGTATGCTCTCTTATGGAGTAGAGAACATAGTTTAGACTTTAGAGACTTTCATCTTTGCCATGATCAGCAGGCCAATGACCACACCTTCACGAATTTTCTTCTCCACATCAGAGGGGTCCTCAATCTCCTCCTCATGGTCTTGGTAGCTGATTTTTCCATGCCATTCCTCTCCTTCTCTCTTCCTCTTCATCTTCAGCTCGAGAGGGCATCGTGTTACAATACCTGTCAGAGTTGACAGAGGAGGAGTTAGAGAGAGTGGGATCAAATGAAACTGTACGAAACACTGAACAAAAGCAGCCCATACATCAACTAAAGCAACCAGAAATAAATTACTTTTGTCTTTATTTATCAATGTTAATTTCAATTAAATGAAATTGTGCAATATTTATTTACCATGTCAAATTAGAGATAAAATGATAATCAAATCAATACAGGCAATATAGGTGTCACGCCCTGGCTCTGGGGACTCTTAAATGTTGAGCCAGGGTGTGGACTTGTTATGGTGTTCTAGTTCACGTATTTCTATGTTGGCCAGGGTGGTTCCCAATCAGAGGCAGCTGTTGCTTGTTGTCTCTGATTGGGAACCATACTTAGGCAGCCTGTTGGCACTTTTGTTTTGTGGGATCTTGTTCCGGAAGGTTTGTGTATTTAACCTAGGACTTCACGAATCGTTTATTGTTTTGGTTCGTTGTGTGTACAAGTAATAAAGATGTACGCTTCTCACGCTGCGCCTTGGTTCGCTTCTTCCCATAACGATCGTGACAATAGGTTTCTTCAACCTATTTGAGACTGATATTGATAAATAAACAAGGCAACAGTAAACATGTCGTCCCCCACAAATGATGCAGCCATACGGATACGAACCCGGTTTAGGGTAAGCGGTGGGTTTGGGGTTAGGATACGAACCCGGTTTAGGGTAAGGAGTAGGGTAAGGTTTTGGGTTAGGTGGTCAAGTGGCCTCTCTAACAATTAAAATAAATGTCTTCAAAAATGGAAGGCAGTTAGCCTGGGTACCAGTATTTTTAGCTAATCCACTCCCTGTTCTTCATGTCATGCACTGAGGTATAATAAGAACTAGAGACTGCCTCCAAGATGGTGAAGCTTTGTTTTCAATGTAATCTACTCACGTTCACATACACTGTTTCGTGGTTGCTGCCATCTTTCTTACAGGGATTACGAAGATTGCGCACTAGCACTCAGTTCACACTGGACAGACAACAGTATCGTGCGAACATGCTCCGGGAACTCTGTCAGAGCATGTGGACAACTAAACAAGCCAACCAGCACTTCCCCTGGCTAGCTGGGGTCATGACCTCAGAGCATGAATATGAAATGTTAATATCCTAATAATCACTTTAGTCATCACTTTTGTGCACAAAACATCCATTGAATTATTCAAATAATTGTAGATGAGGCCCATTTTTCTCTCTCCAAATGTTATATTCATCCAATGTCTGCCATGTTTTTGGATAACGTGATGATGTCGTCGCTGCTCGCCCTACTCCCTGTATGCACTGAGCGCATGTGATGTTGGTCCTTATAAACCGGATTCAACCCGGGTATAGATGGTCCATGAATCAGCTTATGCGAACATGAGTAGATTACCTTGAAAACAACAGGCGGACATCTTGGACGCTGCTGACGAAGATGGTGGCCTCGCGACTAGCTCTTAGGAAACTTTGCGGTATTTTGTTTTTTTATGTATTACTTTTTTTGTTGTTGTTGTTTTTATGGGGGGAATGGATCATTATGGATGTATTAATTTTTACCTTATTAGCTCAGAAAGTGTTTTGTATCATTACATACAGCCGGGAAAAACTATTGAATCAACTCACCAGCATTACGACCAGGAATACGACTTTCCCAAAGCAGATTCTTTGTTTGATCTCCCCAGGGCAATTTAACTGATTCCAGCGGCTGACCCAAAACATCACCAGCGGAGGAGAGGCACTCGGAGCGGCCTGCTAGTGCGACTTAGGAGGCGCGCACACCACCCACCACTTCCAAGTATCTTACTCGCTAATGTTCAGTCTTTCGATAACAAGGTCGACGAGCTCAGTGCAAGGATTTCTTTACAGAGAGACATCAGGGCCTGTAACATACTTTGTTTCACAGAAACATGGCTCTCTGGGGATATTCTGTCAAAATCAGTCCAGCCAGATGGGTTCTCAGTGTAGCTACTCACTCCGCAATTAAACTGGCAAAACATCAGTATAGAGACAAAGTGGAGTCGCAAATCAACGGCTCAGACACGAGACGGATGTGGCAGGGTATACAGACAATCACGGACTACAAAAGGAAAACCAGTGGGGGAAAATAAGTATTTGGTCACCTACAAACAAGCAAGATTTCTGGCTCTCACAGACCTGTAACTTCTTCTTTAAGAGGCTCCTCTGTCCTCCACTCGTTACCTGTATTAATGGCACCTGTTTGAACTTGTTATCAGTATAAAAGACACCTGTCCACAACCTCAAACAGTCACATTCCAAACTCCACTATGGCCAAGACCAAAGAGCTGTCAAAGGACACCAGAAACAAAATTGTAGACCTGCACCAGGCTGGGAAGACTGAATCTGCAATAGGTAATCAGCTTGGTTTGAATATATCAACTGTGGGAGCAATTATTAGGAAATGGAAGACATACAAGACCACTGATAATCTCCCTCGATCTGGGGCTCCACGCAAGATCTCACCCTGTGGGGTCAAAATGATCACAAGAACGGTGAGCAAAAATCCCAGAACCACACGGGGGGACCTAGTGAATGACCTGCAGAGAGCTGGGACCAAAGTAACAAAGCTTACCATCAGTAACACACTACGCCGCCAGGGACTCAAATCCTGCAGTGCCAGACGTGTCCCCCTGCTTAAGCCAGTACATGTCCAGGCCCGTCTGAAGTTTGCTAGAGTGCATTTGGATGATCCAGAAGAGGATTGGGAGAATGTCATATGGTCAAATGAAACCAAAATAGAACTTTTTGGTAAAAACTCAACTCGTCGTGTTTGGAGGACAAAGAATGCTGAGTTGCATCCAAAGAACACCATACCTACTGTGAAGCATGGGGGTGGAAACATCATGTTTTGGGGCTGTTTTTCTGCAAAGGGACCAGGACGACTGATCCGTGTAAAGGAAAGAATGAATGGGGCCATGTATCGTGAGATTTTGAGTGAAAACCTCCTTCCATCAGCAAGGGCATTGAAGATGAAACGTGGCTGGGTCTTTCAGCATGACAATGATCCCAAACACACCGCCCGGGCAACGAAGGAGTGGCTTCGTAAGAAGCATTTCAAGGTCCTGGAGTGGCCTAGCCAGTCTCCAGATCTCAACCCCATAGAAAATCTTTGGAGGGAGTTGAAAGTCTGTGTTGCTCAGCGACAGCCCCAAAACATCACTGCTCTAGAGGAGATCTGCATGGAGGAATGGGCCAAAATACCAGCAACAGTGTGTGAAAACCTTGTGAAGACTTACAGAAAACGTTTGACCTGTGTCATTGCCAACAAAGGGTATATAACGAAGTATTGAGAAACTTTTGTTATTGACCAAATACTTATTTTCCACCATAATTTGCAAATAAATTCATAAAAAAATCCAACAATGTGATTTTCTGATTTTTTTTCCTCATTTTGTCTGTCATAGTTGACGTGTACCTATGATGAAAATTACAGGACTCTCTCATCTTTTTAAGTGGGAGAACTTGCACAATTGGTGGCTGACTAAATACTTTTTTGCCCCACTGTAGCCGACACCAACGTCTCGCTTCCAGAGAAGCTAAACACCTTCTTCCCACGCTTTGAGGATAACACAGTGCCACCGATGCGACCCACTACCAAGGACTGTGGGCTCTCCTTCTCCGTTGTCGATGTGAGTAAGACATTTAAGCATATTAACCCTCGCAAGGCTGCCGGCCCAGACGGCATCCCTAGCCGCGTCCTCAGAGCATGCGCAGACCAGGTACGGTGGGATTCGAAATGGTCGGTGATCTGTTTGTTAACTTGGCTTTCAAAAACTTTCGAAAGGCAGGGCAGGATGGATATAGGTCTGTAACAGTTTGGATCTAGAGTGTCATCCCCTTTGAAGAGGGGGATGACCGCGGCAGCTTTCCAATCTCTGGGGATCTCAGACGTTACGAAAGAGAGGTTGAACAGGCTAGTAATAGGGGTTGCGACAATTTCGGCGGCTAGTTTTAGAAAGAAAGGGTCCAGATTGTCTAGCCCAGATGATTTGTAGGGGTCCAGATTTTGCAGCTCTTTCAGAACATCAGCTGTCTGGATTTGTGTGAAGGAGAAGCGGGGGGGGGGGGCATGGGCAAGTTGCAGCGGAGGGTGCAGAGCTGGTGGCTGGGGTAGTGGTAGCCAGGTGGAAAGCATGGCCAGCCGTAGCAAAATGCTTGTTGAAATTCTCGATTATTGTAGATTTATCGGTGGTGATAATGTTTCCTAGCCTCAGTGCAGTGGGCAGCTGGGAGGAAGTGCTCTTATTCTCCATGGACTTTACAGTGTCCCAACACTTTTTGGAGTTAGTGCTACAGGATGCAAATTTCTGTTTGAAAAAGTTAGCCTTTGCTTTCCTAACTGCTTGTGTATATTGGTTCCTAACTTCCCTGAAAAGTTGCATTTGATGCTAATGCAGTACGCCACAGGATGTTTTTGTGCTGGTCAAGGACAGTCAAGTCTGAGGAGAACCAGGGGCTATATCTGTTCTTAGTTCTGTCTTTTTTGAATGGGGCATGTTTATATAAGATTGAGAGTAAATTACTTTTAAAGAACAACCAGGCATCCTCTACTGACGGAATGAGATCTATATCCATCCAGGATACCTGGGCCAGGTCAATTAGGAAGGCCTGCTCGCTGAAGTGTTTTAGGGAGCGTTTGACAGTGATGAGGGGTGGTCGTTTGACCGCGGACCCGTTACGGACGCAGGCAATAAGGCAGTGATCGCTGAGATCCTGGTTGAAGACAGCGGAGGTGTATTTAGAGGGTAAGTTAGTCAGGATGATATCTATGAGGAAACCCATGTTTACGGATTTAGGGTTGTACCTGGTAGGTTCGTTGATAATTTGTGTGAGATTGAGGGCATCTAGTTTAGATTGTAGGATGGCCGGGGTGTTAAGCATATCCCAATTTAGGTCACCAAGCAGTACGAACTCTGAGGATCATGTAGTGCTTTGAGAGACTAGTCAAGGATCATATCACCTAGACCCACTTCAGTTTGCTTACCACCCCAATAGATCCACAGACGATGCAATCACCATCACACTGCACACTGCCCAATCCCATCTGGACAAGAGGAATACCTATGTAAGAATGCTGCCTATTGAAATCACTGGCCACTTTAAGAAATGGAACACTAGTCACTTTAAGAATGTTTACATATCTTGCAATACTCATCTCATATGTATATACTGTATTCTATAATATTCTACTGCATCTTAGTCCATGCCGCTCTGTCATTGCTTGTCCATATATGTATATATTCTTAAATTCCATTCCTTACTTAGATTTGTGTGTATTGGGTATATGTTGTGAAATTATTAGATATTACTTGTTAGATATTACTGCACTGTCGGAGCTAGAAGCAGAAGCATTTCGCTACACCCGCAATAACATCTGCTAAACACGTGTATGTGACAAATACAATTTGATTTTATTATACCTCAGTGGAGGAGGAAAGATCAGGTGGGACCAATTATGTGTATAAACCCACAATGACTGACAGAGGGTGCTGTATTGAAGCCACCGTGCAGCCATCTTGGTACTTCTCCTCAATTGTAAAAAAAAGATTTTGGAAGCTATAGAAATGCATTTTTCATGTTGTCTTTTTTTTTTTACACGTTTATTCTATTACAGACACCTTAGTGCTAACTTTTAAATTATATTATGTGAGCTAAATATACAAATCTAAAATAAAAAATGTCCTTAAAGTATATACAGTTGAAGTCGGAAGTTTACATACACTTAGGTTGGAGTCATTAAAACTTGTTTTTCAACCACCCCACAAATTTATTGTTTACAAACTATAGTTTTGGCAAGTCGGTTAGGACATCTACTTTGTGCATGACAAGTAATTTTTCCAACAATTGTTTACAGACAGATTATTTCACTTATAATTCACTGTATCACGATTCCAGTGGGTCAGAAGTTTACATACACTAAGTTGACTGTGCCTTTAAACAGCTTGGAAAATTCAGGAAAATGATGTCATGGCTTTAGAAGCTTCTGATAGGCTAATTGACATCATGAGAGTCAATTGGAGGTGTACCTGTGGATGTATTTCAAGGCCTACCTTCAAACTCAGTGCCTCTTTGCTTGACATCATGGGAAAATCAAAAGAAATCAGCCAAGACCTCAGAAAAGAATTGTAGACCTCCACAAGTCTGGTTCATCCTTGGGAGCAATTTCCAAACGCCTGAAGGTACCACGTTCATCTGTACAAACAATAGTACGCAAGTATAAACACCATGGGACCACGCAGCCGTCATACCGCTCAGGAAGGAGACGCGTTCTGTCTCCTAGAGATGAACGTACTTTGGTGCTAAAAGTGCAAATCAATCCCAGAACAACAGCAAAGGACCTTGTGAAGATGCTGGAGGAAACAGGTACAAAAGTATCTATATCCACAGTAAAACGAGTACTATATCGACATAACCTGAAAGGCCGCTCAGCAAGGAAGAAGCCACTGCTCCAAAACCGCCATAAAAAAGCCAGACTACAGTTTGCAACTGCACATGGGGACAAGTCAACATCTCAAGACAAGTAGCCACCCTTTGCCTTGATGACAGCTTTGCACACTCTTGGCATTCTCTCAACCAGCTTCATATGATAGTAACCTGGAATGCATTTCAATTAACAGGTGTGCCTTGTGAAAAGTTAATTTGTGGAATTTCTTTCCTTCTTAATGCGTTTGAGCCAATCAGTTGTGTTGTGACAAGGTAGGGTTGGTATACAGAAGATAGCCTTATTTGGTAAAAGACCAAGTCCATATTATGGCAAGAACAGCTCAAATAAGCAAAGAGAAACGACAGTCCATCATTACTTTAAGACATGGTCAGTCAATCCGTAAAATGTCAAGAACTTTGAAAGTTTCTTCAGTCACAAAAACCATCAAGCGCTATGATGAAACTGGCTCTCATGAGGACCACCACAGGAAAGGAAGACCCAGAGTCACCTCTGCTGCAGAGGATAAGTTCATTAGAGTTACCAGCCTCAGAAATTGCAGCCCAAATAAATTCTTCACAGAGTTCAAGTAACAGACACATCTCAACATCAACTGTTCAGAGGATACTGCGTGAATCAGGCCTTCATGGTTGAATTGCTGCAAAGAAACCACTACTAAAGGACACCAATAATAAGAAGAGACTTGCTTGGGCCAAGAAACATGAGCAATGGACAACTGCGGTGGAAATCTGTCCTTTGTTCTGATGAGTCCAAATTTGACATTTTTGGTTCCAACCTCTGTGTCTTTGTGAGACGCAGAGTAGGTGAACGGATGATCTATGCATGTGTGGTTCCCACCGTGAAGCATGGAGGAGGAGGTGTGATGCTGTGAGGGTGCTTTGCTGGTGACTCTGTCTGTGATTTATTTAGAATTCAAGGCACACTTAACCAGCATGGCTACCACAGCATTCTGCAGCGATACGCCATCCCATCTGGTCCTGACTCTCTCCTTGGTGAGGATCAAAAGTTCCAGATCAGCTTGGCAAATGGCTGACAGATAGCCAGACAATGTTTTGGGGCTGTCGCTGGGCAACACGGACTTTCAACTCCCTCCAAAGATTTTCTATGGGGTTGAGATCTGGAGACTGGCTAGGCCACTCCAGGACCTTGAAATGCTTCTTACGAAGCCACTCCTTCGTTGCCCGGGCGGTGTGTTTGGGATCATTGTCATGCTGAAAGACCCAGCCACATTTCATCTTCAATGCCCTTGCTGATGGAAGGAGGTTTTCACTCAAAATCTCACGATACATGGCCCCATTCATTCTTTCCTTTACACGGATCAGTCGTCCTGGTCCCTTTGCAGAAAAACAGCCCCAAAGCATGATGTTTCCACCCCCATGCTTCACAGTAGGTATGGTGTTCTTTGGATGCAACTCAGCATTCTTTGTACTCCAAACACGACGAGTTGAGTTTTTACCAAAAAGTTATATTTTGGTTTCATCTGACCATATGACATTCTCCCAATCCTCTTCTGGATCATCCAAATGCACTCTAGCAAACTTCAGACGGGCCTGGACATGTACTGGCTTAAGCAGGGGAACACAGCAGGATTTGAGTCCCTGGCGGCGTAGTGTGTTACTGATGGTAGGCTTTGTTACTTTGGTCCCAGCTCTCTGCAGGTCATTCACTAGGTCCCCCCGTGTGGTTCTGGGATTTTTGCTCACCGTTCTTGTGATCATTTTGACCCCACAGGGTGAGATCTTGCGTGGAGCCCCAGATCGAGGGATATTATCAGTGGTCTTGTATGTCTTCCATTTCCTAATAATTGCTCCCACAGTTGATTTATTCAAACCAAGCTGATTACCTATTGCAGATTCAGTCTTCCCAGCCTGGTGCAGGTCTACAATTTTGTTTCTGGTGTCCTTTGACAGCTCTTTGGTCTTGGCCACAGTGGAGTTTGGAGTGTGACTGTTTGAGGTTGTGGACAGGTGTCTTTTATACTGATAACAAGTTCAAACAGGTGCCATTAATACAGGTAACGAGTGGAGGACAGAGGAGCCTCTTAAAGAAGAAGTTACAGGTCTGTGAGAGCCAGAAATCTTGCTTGTTTGTAGGTGACCAAATACTTATTTTCCACCATAATTTGCAAATAAATTCATAAAAAATCCTACAATGTGATTTTCAGGATTTTTTTTCTCATTTTGTCTGTCATAGTTGACGTGTACCTATGATGAAAATTACAGGCCTCTCTCATCTTTTTAAGTGGGAGAACTTGCACAATTGGTGGCTGAGTAAATATTTTTTTCCCCACTGTAAGTGATAACTTCTAATCATATCCTTTGCACAGTAACTAGCCACGCCCCAAGTGCCATCAGAGATCGTGTCAGCAAGTAGGAACGCCCCTTTTACCAAGAGGGCATAAAGGCTTGAAAGATAAATTAAAACTAGACCAGGAAGCGTGGAGATGGTTAGACCAGAAAGACCAGCAGACGTGAGGCGTGAGCTAAACGTTACAAATGGTTGGAACTTTGAATCTCTACACGAGGTGAAAAAGATAAACTCACTAGATTAGAACATTGGCAGTCTGCAGCTGTGCATGTAAAGTGGTCTAGATCTTTGACTAAAGAAACGAGTTGGGAAGGAGAATCCCATCTCAGACAATCCTTGGTGCATTTGAGTATCTGTTCTATTTGAACCCTCCACTCCAAGCCGGGACAACTAAGGACATTGTGACCTCTGATGGACAACAAGAGCCTTGCACTCATCGACACCTTCCCATAGGAGTGATTGGGTTCAACAGAAAGACGATGAACAAAGACAGACACGTAAATACATTGCATTTCTTACGCAAAGGGGCGGTGGTTAGGGTGCTAAGTATTCTGATTACCGTGAGCATAGTTTCCAAATGTATGTACGATAAGTTTGACTGTCTTTGTGTCTCTCTCCCTCCTTCTATTGACCCTTCCCTTTTTGATAACCAAGCAGTCATGCTGTTGTTAGTCCGCTAGGGACTTTTCTCATGTATTAAGTATGTATGTATTCTGTGTTATTATTTAGTTAGCTAGTAAATAAATAATTAAGCCAATTTGTGTATTGCTGACTTATAAGGTTAGGGTTCTTGCAGGTTCAAGGATTATGCGACGTTCAGAATGAGACTGATGAGGTAATGATTAATAAGTGACTGTTATCAATATATAACATATACAGTGGGGGGAACAAGTATTTGATACACTGCCGATTTTGCAGGTTTTCCTACTTACAAAGCATGTAGAGGTCTGTAATTATTATCATAGGTACACTTCAACTGTGAGAGACGGAATCTAAAACAAAAATCCAGAAAATCACATTGTATGATTTTTAAGTAATTAATTTGCATTTTATTGCATGACATAAGTATTTGATCACCTACCAACCAGTAAGAATTCCGGCTCTCACAGACCTGTTAGTTTTTCTTTAAGAAGCCCTCCTGTTCTGCACTCATTACCTGTATTAACTGCACCTGTTTGAACTCGTTACCTGTATAAAAGACACCTGTCCACACACTCAATCAAACAGACTCCAACCTCTCCACAATGGCCAAGACCAGAGAGCTGTGTAAGGACATCAGGGATAAAATTGTAGACCTGCACAAGGCTGGGATGGGCTACAGGACAATAGGCAAGCAGCTTGGTGAGAAGGCAACAACTGTTGGCGCAATTATTAGAAAATGGAAGAAGTTCAAGATGACGGTCAATCACCCTCGGTCTGGGGCTCCATGCAAGATCTCACCTCGTGGGGCATCAATGATCATGAGGAAGGTGAGGGATCAGCCCAGAACTACATGGCAGGACCTGGTCAATGACCTGAAGAGAGCTGGGACCACAGTCTCAAAGAAAACCATTAGTAACACACTACGCCGTCATGGATTAAAATCCTGCAGCGCACGCAAGGTCCCCCTGCTCAAGCCAGTGCATGTCCAGGCCCATCTGAAGTCTGCCAATGACCATCTGGATGATCCAGAGGAGGAATGGGAGAAGGTGATGTGGTCTGATGAGACAAAAATAGAGCTTTTTGGTCTAAACTCCACTCGCCGTGTTTGGAGGAAGAAGAAGGATGAGTACAACCCCAAGAACACCATCCCAACCGTGAAGCATGGAGGTGGAAACATCATTCTTTGGGGATGATTTTCTGCAAAGGGGACAGGACGACTGCACCGTTTTGAGGGGAGGATGGATGGGGCCATGTATCGCGAGATCTTGGCCAACAACCTCCTTCCCTCAGTAAGAGCATTGAAAATGGGTCTTGGCTGGGTCTTCCAGCATGACAACGACCTGAAACACACAGCCAGGGCAACTAAGGAGTGGCTCCGTAAGAAGCATCTCAAGGTCCTGGAGTGGCCTAGCCAGTCTCCAGACCTGAACCCAATAGAAAATCTTTGGAGGGAGCTGAAAGTCCGTATTGCCCAGCGACAACCCTGAAACCTGAAGGATCTGGAGAAGGTCTGTATGGAGGAGTGGGCCACAATCCCTGCTGCAGTGTGTGCAAACCTGGTCAAGACCTACAGGAAACATATGATCTCTGTAATTGCAAACAAAGGTTTCTGTACCAAATATTAAGTTCTGCTTTTCTGATGTATCAAATACTTATGTCATGCAATAAAATGCAAATTAATTGCTTAAAAATCATACAATGTGATTTTCTGGATTCTCTCACTGTTGAAGTGTACCTATGATAAAAATTACAGACCTCTACATGCTTTGTAAGTAGGAAAACCTGCAAAATCTGGCAGTGTATCAAATACTTGTTCTCCCCACTGTATATATTCTAAGAGTTTAATTCGGGAGATGGTAACTCGTTAAACAACTTCTTCCGTGGTGCCCCAAATTCCTAATGAGTTAATTGTTACATGATTAATTTAATCGAGTGACAAGTAAACAGTTAGTTGATTCGATAAATAACAGTCATCAGATTCATGAAAGTCACGTCACGACAGTGCTTAGTGGGACTATCATTTGTTTTTCAACAGGACAATGACCCAACACACCTCCAGGCTATTTGACCAAGAAGGAGAGTGATGGAGTGCTGCATCAAATGACCTGGCCTTCACAATCACCTGACCTCAACCCAATTGAGATGGTTTGGGATGAGTTGGACCTCAGAGTGAAGGAAAAGCAGCCAACAAGTGCTCAGCATATGTGGGAACTCCTTCAAGACTGTTGGAAAAGCATTCCAGGTGAAACTGGTTGAGAGAATGCCAAGAGTGTGCAAAGCTGTCATCAAGGCAAAGGGTGGCTACGTTGAAGAATCTCAAATCTCAAATATATTTTGATTTGTTTGATGTGTTATTTCATAGTTTTGATGTCTTCACTATTATTCTACAATGTAGAAAATAGTCAAAATAAATACAATATTCTGCTATTTCAGCCACACCTGTTGCTGACAGGTGTATAAAATCAAGCACACCGCCATGCAATCTCCATAGACAAACATTGGAGGTAGAATGGCCTTACTGAAGAGCTCAGTGACTTTCAATGTGGCATCGTCATAGGATGCCACCTTTCCAACAAGTCAGTTCGTCAAATTTCTGTCCTGCTAGAGCTGCCCCGGTCAACTGTAAGTACTTTTATTGTGATGTGGAAACATCTAGGAGCAACAACGGCTCAGCCGTGAAGTGGACCGTTGAGTGCTGAAGCACGTAAAAATCGTCTGTCCTCAGTTGCAACGCTCAGTAACGAGTTCCAAACTGCCTCTGGAAACAACGTCAGCACAAGAACTGTTCGTCAGAAGCTTCATGATATGGGTTTCCATGGCCGAGCAGCCGCTCACAAGTCTAAGATCACCATGCGCAATGCCAAGCGTCGACTGGAGTGGTGTAAAGCTTGCCGCCATTGGACTCTGGAGCAGTGGAAACGCATTCTCTGGAGTGATGAATCACGCTTCACCATATGGCAGTCCGAACGACTAATCTGTGTTTGGTGGATGCCAGGATAACGCTACCTGCCCCAATGCATAGTGTCAACTGTAAAGTTTGGTGGAGGAGGAATAATGGTCTGGGACTGTTTTTCATGGTTCAGGCTCCTTAGTTCCAGTGAAGGGAAATCTTAACGCTACAGCATACAATGACATTGTAGAACTTCGCTGGACCTTATGCAAACTGGAAACCACATATCCTGAGGCTGGATTTACTGTAGCCGGGGATTTTAACAAAGCAAATTTGAAGACTAGGCTGCCGAAGTTCTATCAACATATCGACTGTTGTACTCGCGCTGCTAAAATCCTCGACCATTGCTATTCAAACTTCCGGGATGGTTATAAGGCCCTCCCCCGCCCTCCTTTCGGCAAATCTGACCACGACTCCATTTTGCTTCTCCCTTCCTATAGGCAGAAACTGAAACAGGAAGTACCCGTGCTAAGGACTATTCAACGCTGGTCTGACCAATCGGAATCCACGCCCCCTTGTCCTTGTGGATGATTGTTTAATTGTGAGAGTAGCATAGCTTGGTGGAGCTACTCGTACCATTTTGTTGCCAGGGTAGATATTTCCCCTGTGCCTATGTATTGCTGGATCTACCGTTACAGTGTATTGCCAGGGATGATAGTTTCCCCTGTGCCTGTTTCGTTTGTCGCTATTCCAGCGCATGTGTGTGTAAAGACGGAATAAACTCTGTATTCGGTGATTACCCTCCTGCGCCTGACTCCTTCCATCACACTCATCACAGAATCACCCACCCGCTATGCAGTCAGCGGGAGAAGAGTGCATGCCTGGAGTCGTGGCACGAGTCCGGGAGCATTCCACGATGCTGGCCAGCTTGGGGGAAGCGATGGATCGGGTTCTTCAGGTCGTCCAATGCCTGGAGAGGAGAGGACCCGATCTGTCGAGACCAGCTGGCCAACTGGATCCAGCCACCTACACCCCAGCACCCGGAGGGATCCAGATATCCTGACCACAGGCGTTCGATGGGATGGCGGAGCTCTGCCAAGGATTCCTCCTCCAACTAGAGCTTTACTTCTCCAGCATCAGGCCGGCGCCATCGGAGCGGGAGAAGGTGTCCGCCCTCGTTTCCTGCCTCTGTGGGAAAGGGGTCTAGATGGAACGAGTGGGCCCTGATCGACCATTTCCGGTGCCATCTGCGGGAGGACGTCCAACGGGAGCTAGCCTGCCGGGACACCATGTTGTCCTTCACGAAACTGGTGGACATGGCCATTCGGTTGGACAACCTGCTGGCAGCCAGAGGACGTCCTGGTAGGGATCTGCCTGTTTCCACCCCGGACGACTCGGATCCCTGATGGAGCTGGGTGGAGCCGCCATCCGAGAGAGCGGAGGAAGACAGCGACAGTGCCACTCTGGTGGCACGAAGGGACAGTACACCATACGTCATAGCCAACGTTATTTTGGGCCTGGAGGCGGCAGGAAGGGTACTCTCGCATCACCCCAGGTATCGAACACCCACACTTGATCAGAGCCCTCTGCTGCGCACTGTACCCTACCTATCCACTTTCCCGATCACATGGTAGTTCCCCAGTGTAAGGCGCTAGTCGATTCAGGCGCAGTTGGGAACTTTATGGACAGGGCATTCTCACGCCGTCAAGGCATTTAATTGGTTCCCCTATCCATTCCACTCCCCATCAGAGCACTTGATAGTCGACCATTAGGGTCCGGATTTGTTATAGAAGTCACTATACCAGTCACCATGATCACCCAGGAGACTCATTGTGAGCAGGTAATTTTTTCGATTATTGAGTCTCCTGCTTTCCCTGTGGTATTAGGTATCCCTTGGCTAGCACTCCACAACCCCACCTTCTCATGGGCGCAGAGGGCTCTCACGGGGTGGTCGCGAGAGTGTCAGGGTAGGTGTCTAGGTGTTTCCGTTGGTGCAACCACGGTGGAAAGTCCAGACGGTACCTCCACCGTGCGCATTCCCCCCGAATACCTCAACTTGGCGCACACGTTTTCTAAGACGCGTGCGACTAAATTACCACCTCATCGGGTGGGGGTTTGCACGATAAACCTTCGGGTAGACGCTGTACCTCCCAGGAGTAATGTGTACCCCCTGTCGCAGGCTGAAACGGAGGCTATGGCAACATATGTCACCGAGTCCCTGGGCCAGGGGTATATACAGTGGGGAAAAAAAGTATTTAGTCAGCCACCAATTGTGCAAGTTCTCCCACTTAAAAAGATGAGAGAGGCCTGTAATTTTCATCATAGGTACACGTCAACTATGACAGACAAAATGAGAAAAAAAAATCCAGAAAATCACATTGTAGGATTTTTAATGAATTTATTTGCAAATTATGGTCAAAAATAAGTATTTGGTCAATAACAAAAGTTTCTCAATACTTTGTTGTATACCCTTTGTTGGCAATGACACAGGTCAAACGTTTTCTGTAAGCGTTCACAAGGTTTTCACACACTGTTGCTGGTATTTTGGCCCATTCCTCCATGCAGATCTCCTCTAGAGCAGTGATGTTTTGGGGCTGTCGCTGGGCAACACGGACTTTCAACTCCCTCCAAAGATTTTCTATGGGGTTGAGGTGTGGAGACTAGCTAGGCCACTCCAGGACCTTGAAATGCTTATTACGAAGCCACTCCTTCGTTGCCCGGGCGGTGTGTTTGGGATCATTGTCATGCTGAAAGACCCAGCCACGTTTCATCTTCAATGCCCTTGCTGATGGAAGGAGGTTTTCACTCAAAATCTCATGAAACATGGCCCCATTCATTCTTTCCTTTAAACGGATCAGTCGTCCTGGTCCCTTTGCAGAAAAACAGCCCCAAAGCATGATGTTTCCACCCCCATGCTTCACAGTAGGTATGGTGTTCTTTGGATGCAACTCAGCATTCTTTGTCCTCCAAACACGACGAGTTGAGTTTTTACCAAAAAGTTATATTTTGGTTTCATCTGACCATATGACATTCTCCCAATCCTCTTCTGGATCATCCAAATGCACTCTAGCAAACTTCAGACGGGCCTGGACATGTACTGGCTTAAGCAGGGGGACACATCTTGCACTGCAGGATTTGAGTCCCTGGCGGCGTAGTGTGTTACTGATGGTAGGCTTTGTTACTTTGGTCCCAGCTCTCTGCAGGTCATTCACTAGGTCCCCCCGTGTGGTTCTGGGATTTTTGCTCACCGTTCTTGTGATCATTTAGACCCCACGGGGTGAGATCTTGCGTGGAGCCCCAGATCGAGGGAGATTATCAGTGGTCTTGTATGTCTTCCATTTCCTAATAATTGCTCCCACTGTTGATTTCTTCAAACCAAGCTGCTTACCTATTGCAGATTCAGTCTTCCCAGCCTGGTGCAGGTCTACAATTTTGTTTCTGGTGTCCTTTGACAGCTCTTTGGTCTTGGCCATAGTGGAGTTTGGAGTGTGACTGTTTGAGGTTGTGGACAGGTGTCTTTTATACTGATAACAAGTTCAAACAGGTGCCATTAATACAGGTAACGAGTGGAGGACAGAGGAGCCTCTTAAAGAAGAAGTTACAGGTCTGTGAGAGCCAGAAATCTTGCTTGTTTGTAGGTGACCAAATACTTATTTTCCACCATCATTTGCAAATAAAATCATTAAAAATCCTACAATGTGATTTTCTGGATTTTTTTTCCTCAATTTGTCTGTCATAGTTGACGTGTACCTATGATGAAAATGACAGGCCTCTCTCATCTTTTTAAGTGGGAGAACTTGCACAATTGGTGGCTGACTAAATACTTTTTTTCCCCACTGTACGTCCCTCCACTTCACCCGCCTCCTCGAGTTTCTTCTTTGTGAAGAAGAAAGACGCCGGTCTGCGCCCGTGCATTGATTATCGATCACTGAACAAGAAGACGATTAGATTTAGTTATCCTCTCCCCCTCATTCCTTCAGTGATTGAGTCAATGCATGGGGCGTGCTTCTTCACTAAACTAGATCTCAGGAGTGCATACAACCTGGTGCGTGTTCGGAAGGGGGATGAGTGGAAGACAACATTCAGCACAACCACGGGGCATTATGAATACCTGGTGATGCCCTACGGTTTGATGAATGCTCCATCTGTCTTCCAGTCCTTTGTGAACGAGGTGTTTCGGAACATGCTTGGTCGTGGTGTGGTGGTCTACATCGATGACATCCTGGTGTATTCCGCTATGCGCGCCGAGCATGTGTCCCTGGTTCGCAAAGTGCAGGCCCGACTGTTGGAAAATGACCTTTATGCCAAGGCAGAGAAGTGTATGTTTTTCCAGCAGTCCGTCTCCTTCCTCGGATACCGCATTACCACCTCAGGTGTGGAGATGGAGGGAGATCGCATTTCAGCCGTGCGTAATTGGCCGAATCCAACCACGATAAAGGAGGTGTAGCGCTTCCTTGGATTTACCAACTACTATCGGAGGTTTATCCGGGGCTTTGGCAAGGTCGCAGCTCCCATTACCTCCCTGTTGAAGGGTGGGCCGTCCCGGCAAGGGCTGACCTGGCCTTCAGGAGACTGCAGGGTCTGTTCACCTCAGCCCCGGTACTGGCCCACCCCGATCCATCACTACCGTTCGCAGTGGAGGTGGATGCGTCTGAGGTAGGGATAGGCGCTGTCCTATCCCAATGCTCGGGCACGCCACCCAAGCTCCGCCCCTGTGCCTTCTTCTCTAATAAGCTCAGCCCGGCGGAGCAGAACTACGACGTTGGTGATCGGGAGCTGTTGGCTGTTGTCCGAGCTTTGACCATGTGGAGGCATTGGCTCGAAGGGGCGAAACACCCTTTCCTCGTCTGGACGGACCACCGTAACCTGGAGTACATCCGGACAGCGAGGAGGCTGAATCCTCGCCAGGCCAGGTGGGCCCTATTGTTCACCCAGTTTGATTTTACACTGTCATACATTCCGGGTACGAAGAACTTGACTGGCCTGCACAGAGCCCTGACCTCAACCCCATCGAACACCTTTGGGATGAATTGGACCTTCAACTGCAAGCCAGGCCTAATCGCCCAACATCAGTGCCCGACCTCACTAATGCTCTTGTGGCTGAATGGAAGCAAGTCCCCACAGCAATGTTCCAACATCTTGTGATGTTACATCTACACACTGGCACAACGCAGTTTCTCTGGACCCCTGCAAGGTCGGAGTTCGGCCCTCACCCATCCCTATAATAAAATAAAATAAAATAAAAAGTATAGACTACCGATCGCTGTCCATGGTGCTGAAATTGCGACATGTCTATATGGCTGCATGTCTATCGAATCGATTATAGGCTTTCTGTCCTGCGAGGTCTTAGCTTTTCTTTAGCTAATGGATAAATATTTATTGGTAGGCCTAATTGGTCGTCATTTTATCATGTTAAGTCTAACATTCACGAAGCTATACACAGTATCGCAATGATGTCATTGTTATACTGGTGTAATAAAATAAATGTATAATGATATTACTTGTTCAGTAATTCAAGTAGGAAATTCAAACATTGCAGATTGTAAAATAAATGTTCGATGCAACAGCATACTAATCAGCTACCAATATATATATTTTCAATATATACACACAACTGTCCTGTATAGGCTACCAGGAACCTGCATGACATGAGCCGTCTTCCCGCTCTCTCCCAGCTTGGATAAAAAGTTGTGCGTAAAACCAGTCTTTTAATGCCAAATAATACAGTCAGTCCACCCTCAAAACACTAGTTTACTAGAGATTGTTTCATTATGCAGTGTCATATCTATACCGTACTTAGCTGCTATTTACAAACTTTTTATAAAAATGTAACATAAAATAGCCTAACAGTGAGGAAAAAAGTAGTCTGCTTGAGGATAAATTCAGCCAGTATTTATTGTTGAACTCAGCGGGTTTTGTCTGGCTAATAGTCTACACATATGGGCTGCAATATTCAAGTTAAATTAAATTAAATCCAATTAAATCCAACTTCAGAGACTCCACTGGTGTCCTGAAGTCCTCCTTTTTTGTGTGCAAATATTTTCACCACGGCCAGTAGGTCCAGGTTGCGGCCCGACTGTTTTCTATACTGAGTATTGCCAACCCAGACAGTGTTTCCTGAGACATTGTGCATTATATGTCCATTGCGCTGCACACAATTTAAACTTAGTCTTGAATGATGCATGCCAAGAAATACCAGAGATAAGGGACTGTTGATATTGCAACCACACAACACAAACGCAGGTTCACCAGTATGAACGTAATCGCAAACAGCTTTTTTTGTTCAAGCCCTCAAGAACTTGTCTGCTAAAGATGATAATCTGTTAACATCTGTCAATTTATTGGCTGTCCAGTATCCAGACGACCTGTCCCCAGAGCTTCCTATACAGTTAATCCCTTTACGTAACGTGTTGAGGCCGGCAATGAATGAGAATGAGATACATAACTAATGTTACAGAACTGCTGTAAGCTTTTTAAAGCAAACCTCGCTTCTGCCCAGTTTCCCTGATGCTGTTTATACCTGTAACTGTCGCTTCTGCGGAGAGATCGTTTTCTCAACTAAAACTAATAAAGAACTAAGAAGCATTTGGCTCTCGGTCTGATGTGCGCTTTTGAACAAACAAGTAAGCTCCACTCCTTGCACTGGCGCCATCGTATTCTTGACCACGGCATTGGTTCACTGATATCCGCTTATTCTTTCAATCAGTACATTTGTTATTGTTCAGTCACATTCCTGAAGACCAAGAAACAAACACTTAGCTTCCTAGTACATATGGAAATGAAAAAGGTTATTGATTACTTTTTGGAGGGTTACTGTCAAAATGATTTATTAAATAAATAAATAAAGACATCGATGATAGGCGAGGGCTGCGGGCGTCTACCCATGAATCCAGGTTGAATTATCACTCACCGCTACCCCTTGGCAAAGCCACCCCAGACAGCGCCTCCAGCACGGAGCTCTTTCCCGAACTCTGGTCCCCTATCACCGCGATGGCTGGCAGCGCAAGGTCCTTTTCCACGCCAAGGGAGCGCAGTGAGTCGATGAGGTCGATACAGGGCCGCACCTTCTCTTCATAATGTTGGTTCAGCGTGTTATTCATGGTGTATTATTATTTAGTGATAAAACTGAAATAAAAAGCAAGATGTTCTGCTATCTGATGCCCACTGCGGATGTTGAAAGGTTATGAAATTATTGGCAAAGCATATATTTCAAAAGTATTCCCTCCTCCAGCTCCAGTCCCTTTTCCGAGAGGGAGAGTTTTTACTCTAGTATCGTTTTTATAATAACCGGTTTAGTAAAATAGGGGGAGTGTCATCCCTGGGAATCGAATCTTACACGGTATGTTTCACTTTCATTTCTTAATTTAAAGTTAGTCCTGAAGCTGGAAGCTGCCATAGGATGGGGAGAGGCTATACGGCAGGGTTCCCAACTATTACATTTTTAAAATGTTCATCCTTGTACAAAGCTAGCATAATGACTGTTTTGACCTTTTTATTCACGAATGGTGAGCTAATGTTAGCTAGCTAGCTACATATCGTCTGGTGGGCTAGCTAGTTAGGCACCTCGGTTGGCTAGTTAGCTACATTAGCTAAAGTTGGCTAGCTAGCTCACAAAACACAAACTGATCAAATATGATACAATATTGTGTAAAACATTGAATTTGTAGATTCATCGAAATTGACTATGTCCCATTTGGCGTCATACTTTGTGGGATTGGTAATAATATGAGAGATTTAGGGAGTCCCATTGCTTCAGGACTTGGTCAGGTGGTTTAAGCATGTCCCAGTTTAGGTCACCTAGCAGGACAATTCAGACTTAGTGTAAGGTGCCAGAATAGTGTCTCCCGAGTGGCGCAGTGGTCTAAGGCACTGCATTGCAGTGCTAGCTGTGCCACTAGAGATCCTGGTTCGAATCTAGGCTCTGTCGTAGCCGGCCGCGACTGGGAGACCCATGGGGCGGTGTGCAATTGGCCCAGCGTTGTCCAGGGTAGGGGAGGGAATGGCCGGCAGGGATGTAGCTCAGTTGATAGAGCATGGCGTTTGCAAAGCCAGGGTTGTGGGTTCGATTCCCACAGGGGGTATGAAAAAAAAAATGTATGCACTAACTGTAAGTCGCTCTGGATAAGAGCGTCTGCTAAATTACTAAAATGTAAAAAATGAGAGAGCTTAGGGCATTTAGGGTACAGGCTGATGGTGGATGATAACACCCAGCAACAGTCAACAAAGAGCTATTTGAAAGTTGAATCCTTAAAACCAGCCAATCAAATTGTTTGTGGACGGACTTGGTGGAGACAACCGAGCACTGAAGGTGTTCCTTGGTAAGGATTGCTACTCCACCACCTATGGAAGATCTGTCTTGCCGAAAAAGGTTATAACCAGAAATGTTAACATCAGTGTTTAAAACAGTCTTTCTTAACCACGTCTCAGTAATGAGCAACACATCTGTCGTGTGTGTCTCTTTAAGAACAGGGCACTCCTAAAGGGGGTTATATCTGGCGTCTCGTGGGAATGTTGAGGAGATTACAAATATTCCTAGAGTGATTGATGCATGTCGGCTGAATCGGGTGGTGAATGAAAAAAAAGTGAAGAGTATCTGTTCTTTTGTTTTTTGATGTGGAGTCTCTCCCTACTCAAGTGCAGTTAGGGTATATTAACTACAGAGTCAGAGCATTTATCCCAAGACCAATGCAGTGTGATCATTGTAAAGCTTTTGGTCATGTTTCAAGTGTTTGCAGAAGAGAAAAGCCGAGATGTCCAAGTTGTGGAAAATATAATCTAATGTGTTATAAAAGTGATGAAAATGTGACATGTTGCAATTGTGGTAGGAACCATGAAGCTACGTCTTTCAAATGCCCCACAAGGGTGTAAGAGAACGAGGTGGCCAAAGTCAGGGCTGTCCAGAGCATTTCATATGCAGCAGCTGTTAAAAGGGTTGAGGGTTTGAATGGTGCACCTGAAGAGTCCATGGTGGTGGATAGGCCTTCACTGCAGGCTGCAGGGGTTGCCTTTCACCAGCAGGATCCTGACATTTGAAAGGTTAAGAAGGTGGACTTTGTGGCCTTTATAGCTATGGTGATTAATGGCACTGCCAAGGTGGAGAGAAGGTCCAGGAAGATAGAAATCATTGTGGATGTGGCGGAGCGGTTCATGGGGCTGAAAGATTTCTCGGCGAAGGAGTTACATGGAATATTGTCACAAGCTATCACTAGCTAGCTAGGTGGTTAATGTGGTGTACAGTAGGCTACAGTACCGTTACAGTATTACTGAATGACAACAATATAGCCTTGTCACTACTAGTTGGCAAGTTGGTTGATATGGGGTGCAGTACGCTACAGTGCAACATTACTAAATGATAACAATGTAGCCTTGTCACTAGCTAGTAGTTGGTTGATGGGGTGGGGTACAGTAGGCTACAATACAGCAACAATAGCCTTCCTACTGCTCTGTTATTCGGTGGGTCTGGAAATTGTTAAATTAGCTAATATTATAGAAAGATCACACATTCATGCTGTGGTGGTGTCACATTGTCTTTATCCATACCATAGCTGCTGCTATGGATATGCCTTTTACTTGAGAGCTCTGTCCTCTTTGCCAGGTCTCCCTTAACAAAATGATGTTATTTTTGACCTGGTAAAATAAGCTAACTGTTGTGTGCACTGTCACTAGATAGAATTGTGTGGTTTGGTTGCTGATTGTCAAAAGAAAATAGACATATACAGTAGATCATCAGCATTCTCAATGAGATGAGATACACAGCTAACCCAAACTGAATTTCATTCATTCATAAATGTGGACACTAATTATTGTTAATATTCCAATTCTCTAGGCCCTCCATTCCCAAACCTGAAGCCCCCTGTCCCCAGCAGGAAAGACCAGGAAAAAGTGTTGGCTTAAGGTACAACTTCCTATTGAGGAAAAGTAAGATAATTCAATGTCATATTTAGAGTTACTGACATGAATAGAAGCATATACAAGCAATCTATCAAATGTATTTTATAAAGCCCCTTTTACATCAGCAGTTCTCACAAAGTGCTTATACAGACACCCAGCCTAAAATCTCAAAGAGCAAGCAATGCAGACGTAGAAGCACAGTGGCTAGGAAAAACTCCCTAGAAAGGCAGGAACCTAGGAAGAAACCTAGAGAGGAACCAGGCTCTGAGGGTTGGCCAGTCCTCTTCTGGTTGTGCAGGTGGAGATTATAAGAGTACAGCCATTTAGGCCAGATCGCTCTTCAAGACGTTTAAACGTTCATAGATGACCAGCAGGGTCAAATAATAATCACAGTGGTTATAGAGGGTGAAATAGTTCAGCACCTCAGGAGTAAATGTCAGTTGGCTCTTCATAGCTGAGCAATTAGAGGTTGAGACCGTAGGTCTGGTAGAGAGAGACAGGGTCAAACAGCAGGTCTGGAACAAGGTAGCGCTTGTCCTGAACAGGTCCTGAGCAGGTCAGGGTTCCATAGCCGCAGACAGAAACAGACTGGATCAGCAGTACGACCAGGTGGACTAGGGACAAGGATAGCCAGGAGTCATCAGGCCAGGTAGTCCTGGTCCTAGGGCTCAGGTCCTGCATCCTTTATTTAATTTGTGTAGACTAAGCCCTAGAGGTTTTGTAACTTCACATGATTTAGCGTACTTGTCAATCCAGATCTGAATATTTGATATCCTTTTTACTGTACACAGTTTTCTCCCCCAAAGCTAATCACTGAATGTCCTACTACAAGGATATGGTCAGGTTGACACACTTCTGAGTCACAATAACACAATCACACACAACCCAGACTGCGAGGGCAAGTACAATGAGCAGTTTGTAAAATGAAGTCTGCTGCATGGTACATACAGTGGGGAAAAAAAGTATTTAGTCATTCACCAATTGTGCAAGTTCTCCCACTTAAAAAGATGAGAGAGGCCTGTAATTTTCATCATAGGTACACGTCAACTATGACAGACAAAATGAGAATTTTTTTCTTTCAGAAAATCACATTGTAGGATTTTTAATGAATTTATTTGCAAATTATGGTGGAAAATAAGTATTTGGTCAATAACAAAAGTTTCTCAATACTTTGTTATATACCCTTTGTTGGCAATGACACAGGTCAAACGTTTTCTGTAAGTCTTCACAAGGTTTTCACACACTGTTGCTGGTATTTTGGCCCATTCCTCCATGCAGATCTCCTCTAGAGCAGTGATGTTTTGGGGCTGTCGCTGGGCAACACAGACTTTCAACTCCCTCCAAAGATTTTCTATGGGGTTGAGATCTGGAGACTGGCTAGGCCACTCCAGGACCTTGAAATGCTTCTTACGAAGCCACTCCTTCGTTGCCGGGCGGTGTGTTTGGGGTCATTGTCATGCTGAAAGACCCAGGCACGTTTCATCTTCAAAGCCCTTGCTGATGGAAGGAGGTATTTACTCAAAATCTCACGATACATGGCCCCATTCATTCTTTCCTTTACACGGATCAGTCGTCCTGGTCCCTTTGCAGAAAAACAGCCCCAAAGCATGATGTTTCCACCCCCATGCTTCACAGTAGGTATGGTGTTCTTTGGATGCAACTCAGCATTCTTTGTCCTCCAAACACGACGAGTTGAGTTTTTACCAAAAAGTTCTATTTTGGTTTCATCTGACCATATGACATTCTCCCAATCCTCTTCTGGATCATCCAAATGCACTCTAGCAAACTTCAGACGGGCCTGGACATGTACTGGCTTAAGCAGGGGGACACGTCTGGCACTGCAGGATTTGAGTCCCTGGCGGCGTAGTGTGTTACTGATGGTAGGCTTTGTTACTTTGGTCCCAGCTCTCTGCAGGTCATTCACTAGGTCCCCCCGTGTGGTTCTGGGATTTTTGCTCACCGTTCTTGTGATCATTTAGACCCCACGGGGTTAGATCTTGCGTGGAGCCCCAGATCGAGGGAGATTATCAGTGGTCTTGTATGTCTTCCATTTCCTAATAATTGCTCCCACAGTTGATTTCTTCAAACCAAGCTGCTTACCTATTGCAGATTCAGTCTTCCCAGCCTGGTGCAGGTCTACAATTTTGTTTCTGGTGTCCTTTGACAGCTCTTTGGTCTTGGCCATAGTGGAGTTTGGAGTGTGACTGTT